CCTACTCCTAGATTCGAGTCTCGCGTGTGATCTCGTGGGCTGATAAGGGTTTTGTACTGGGACGAAACGGTCGTCTGATATTTTCAGGTTTTCAATTATGGTCTAGCTTAAATTCAACTATTACAAGTATAAGATGACATTTATTATTAAAACTCTATGCTGCTACAAATTTCTTTAGCAACTTTGAGCAATAAAATATAGGATTAACATGATACTTGTATTCAGGAAATTAAGTATTTTGAGTTTTCGTATCATATAAATCAACATTTACGTTCGATGAATATATTCATTTTTAGATCTGTTTCATTGGACAGGCCTTTAGAAATGAAACTGTATAGTTTGTCGTATGGCTAACTAACATTGACGCAACATAGTGTCTTGATTTTAACCAACGTTATATACTATTATCTTACCATAATCTTAATCTACTTATAAACAAACGAATAATAATTTGTTTCAAGATCTTTAGCACATGGAATCCTATAAATGTATGGGATCAAAGTCCTTGTTAAACATCATAATATTCAAAGCAATTAGTCCCTTTTATAAATTTCGATAGAGCAATGAGAAGACGGAGTTGATCTAAAAATGTGATGTATTTGAGTTATACATTTCGAACGATCTGGTCACACACATACTTGTCAAGGCATTTTATATGAAAATTAGTGAAGGCCAATTAATGAAGGTTCGATTAAACATAGTAATAAGGGAGAGAGAAAAAAACATCGTATAGAATGAGTTGGGAATTGTCGCATTACCTTAGGCCATAAAACGGCTTAAGGATTACCACGGTAAGTTCAAGGTTACCGACAAATGGTTTTTGTACACATAAAGGGGGTTTAAATTTACGAATAGCCAATGCTCCGATAAACTTGAGAATTCGTCTTTGATTTCTATACAACGTTTTAAAATCTTCATTAATGTTAATTATGTGCTTTTCTATTAAAGATCATGGTTTTCTACTTCCCACGTTGATCGGGACATTTGAAATTAACTTGTTTTGAAGCCATAACCCTTGACTGCATTGTTCGATTACTCCTCCCTATTAATATATGTTCACACAAACATGTAAACTGATAAATGCAATGAGATGTGAACTCCGCTTGTAGCTCTTCTAGAGTTACTGGCGGTCCCAACCACTCATAAAGGAGGAGAGTTAGGCATGGGGTTAGCGACACCATTCCTTAGAAAACTAACTCACTAAAAAAACGCTTACCAGAGAAAATAATTCAAACCATTTAAACTCTGCCCTGAGAGTTAGAAGGTCTTCATTTAGAAGAAATATGACGCTTCATGGTAAAGTCAATTTCCTTCGAAAGACACGAGACCGATGCAACTTCTAACAACCACAGCAACAATTTTTATAGGTACATGGAACGTACGGATAATGTGGGAGACCGGGAAGGCCAGTCAAATAGCAACGGAAATGAGGAGATACAACTTGGCAGCACTGGGAATCAGCGAAACTCATTGGACCCAAGCTGGACAACAAAGGCTAAATATGGGAGAGATGTTGTTGCACTCTGGTCATGAAGAGGAAAATGCTTTTGGTGGAGTTTTGTTCTCTGAGCTGGATGGTTTGGTCGTGGAGCTTTCATCGTTCTTCTGAACGACATCATCAGCACAAACTTCTATTTGAAGTTTGTGCTGATGATGTCGTTCAGAAGAACGATGAAAGCTCCACGACCAAACCATCCAGCTCAGAGAACAAAACTCCACCAAAATCATCCACCTGAGCTACAAATCTTCTCCACCATCTCAAAAAGAGGAAAATGCTCCACACACTCACGAAGTGGCTTTAATGCTGTCCAAATTAGCACGAAATGCACTTGAACGATGGGAAGCTCACGAATCCAGTATCATCAAAGCATCATTCAAAACAAAGAAGGAGCGGATCACAATGAATATTACTCAATGTTATGCACCCACCAATGATAGAAACGACAACATTAAAGATCAATTCTATGAGAGGCTGAAATCAATCATAGAGAAGTGCCCAAGAAAAGAACCTCACCATTCTGATGGGAGATCTAAGCGCTAAAGTCGGAATAGACAACATCGGATATGAAGATATCATGAGAGAACATGGATTGACTGGGAGAGAGAAACGAAAATGGGGAAAGATTTGCAAATCTGTGTGCATTCAACAAATTTGTCATAGGAGGCACAATATTTCCACACAAACGTATACACAAAGCTACATGGATCTCACCGGACCACACCACAGAGAACCAGATAGATCATATTTACATCAATAAAAAGTTCTGAAGGAGAATGGAAGATGTGTGAACCAGGAGAGGAGCTGATGTAGCTTCAGATCACCACCTAGCTGTGGCCAATTTAAAACTGAAGCTAAAGAAGAACTGGACAAGTGGACAAGCAGCACTACAAATGTTCAATACAGCCTTCCTTCGAGATGCTGAAAAACTCAATGAATTCGAAATTGCTCTAAACAAAAGGTTCCACGTCTTACAGTACATACTGAAGGAAGAAGAAACTAGTATGGAGGACAACTGGATAGGTATCAAGGAAGCATTAACTTCAATGTGTCAGGTGATTCCAAGCCAAAAGAAACATCATCATAATGAATGGATCTCTATAGAAACACTGGACAAGATCAAATAAAGGAAGAACAAGAAGTTAGCGATTAACAACAGCCGAACACGAGCACAAAAATTCCAATCACAAGCTAAATACATAGAAGCAAACAAGCAAGTGGAGAAGAGCATTAGAGAAGAAGTTCGTGGAAGAACTAGCAACGACGGTGGAAAAAGCTGCAAGAGAAGGAAATATGAAACAGCTTTACGATACAACGAAGAAACTAGCACAGAAATATAGTAAACCAGAGAGACCAGTCAAAGACAAAGAAGGCAGGCCAATCACTGAAATTCAACAACAGCGGAACAGGTGTGTAGAGTACTTCGAGAAACTCCTGAATAGGCCGGCTCCAATGAATCCGCCGGACATCGAAGCAGCATACACAGATCATCCTATAGATGTCAATCCACCAATGATGGAAAAAATTAGAATGTCCATCAGACAAATGAAGAGAGGGAAAGCAGCAAGATTTGACAACATACTAACTGAAGCACTGAAGTCAGACATCGAAGTAACTACAAACATGCTTTACCTTCTATTCAAAAAGATTTGAGAGGAGGAACAAGTGCCAATGGATTGGAAAGAAGGGCACTTCGTCAAGATTCCAAAGCAAGGAAATCTGGGCAAGTGTTAAAACTACAGAGGCACTACACTACTGTCAATACTAGGGAAAGTCTTTAACAGAGTGTTGCTGAACCGGATGAAAGATCCAGTAGGCGTCCAACTTTGGGAACAGTAAGCTAGATTTCATAAGGATCGGTCTTGTATAGACCAAATTGCGACGCTACGGATCATCGCCGAACTATCATTTGATTGGAACTCATCACTATACACCAACATCATTGATTATGAAAAGGCATTTGACAGTGTAGATAGGAGGACGTTATGGAAACTTCTTCGACACTACGGAGTTCCTGAGAAGATTGTCAATGTTATCCAGAACTCATACGACGGACTATATTGCAAGGTCGTGCATGGAGGACAGGTGACAGATGCATTCCAAGTAAGGATCGGAGTCAGACAACGCTGTCTACTCTCTCCCTTCCTCTACCTTCTGGTGGTCGACTGGATTATGAAGACCTCGACATCCGAGGGAAAACACGGCATACAACGGACAGCTCAGAATCAATTTGGACTTCACAGATGACCTAGCCCTCTTATCGCATACATCTAAACAAATGCAAATAAAGACAGCCAATGTAGCAGAAGTGTCTGCATAAGTAGGCCTCAACATACACAAGGGGAAAACCAAGGTCCTCAAATTCAAAACGATGAACAGCAATCCAATCACTCTTGATAGCAAAACTTTGGAAGATTTAGAATTCTTCGCATATCTGGGAAGCAGCATCGATGAACAAGGAGGTTCAGATGTAGATGTAAAGGCGAGGATCGGCAAAGCAACGGTCACATTCCACGAGGCAAGCCCTAATTTGGAATCCTGAAGGGAGGTAGAAAAGAGGAAGGCCGAGGAACACACTACGTCGGGAAATAGAAGTAGATATGAAAATGATGAATAACAACTGGAAGGAGCTGGAAAGGATTGCCCAGAACATTGTTGGATGGAGAATTCTGGTGAGCGGCCTATTCTCCTACACGAGGAGTAACAGGTTTATGTTCTTTACTTTTTGACATTAGTCCAATTTCATTGTTAACTAGATGAATTAACATGACAATAAGGTACATTCTGTTAAATAGTGATATGTAACAAAGAAAAAGTCTATATCTTTCTTTATATAATAAAACATATGAATAACTTATTTCTATAACAATTATTCAAAATAGGTTCCAGTATTCATAAACCATTTTTACTGAAAATATTATTAAATCCAAAATGAAAGTGTTTTCTTTTTCCATAATTCAAATAAATAACTAAAAATTAGTTAAAACAATGAAATAAGTATTGTTAACTACAATCTAAGCTACATTGAAGAAAAAAACAAACAAAACTCAACTAATTCATGCATTAAATTAAATCTATTTCTATAATCAGTTATTATCATAATTTCTTTTTTTTTTTTTGATCAATAAATTGATTTCCAATGATTAATTATTGATTCTTTATGTAATAATCTATAGTAGTAGATTGTTTACCAAATTTTTATTCTATAAGTAAACACAAATTTATCTTTTGATCTATCTATCCATATACACATCCAGTGGTAGTTACAAAGTAATAAGAAAGATAATATAAATGCGATAATAACAAATCATTTAATAAACTATGACATATGTCAAAAACAAATAGTTGAAAGTGAGTAAAAACCAATTGCAGAATAGTACTATTCATCATCATCATATATATATGAATGCTTGTGGATATTTGTGTGTATCCATGTCTACGTACAAGTGTATAGTTATAATTCACGTGGACTTATGACAGATTATAAACAGAAAAATAAATTATGAGAAGGAAAAAAAGACGAAGAAATATTATTATTGTAGATTTTCTTTGTATCATTCATTCATCCATTATATATTCTATCTACAGTACTACTACTACTACTACTACTACTACTACTACTACTACTAATAATAATAATAATAATAATAATAATAATAATAATAATACTACTACTACTACTACTACTACTACTACTACTACTACTAATACTACTACTACTACTACTACTAATACTACTACTACTACTACTACTACTACTACTACTACTACTACTAATACTACTACTACTACTACTAATACTACTACTACTACTACTACTACTACTACTACTACTACTATTTAGAATGAAACAAATTGATTTAGTCAGTAAAATGAGGGATAGAAAAAGTGAGTGAGTGAGTGAAAGTGAGCAATGATATATTAGTTGTTGTTTATCAAGTTACCAATTTATCATTATTCATTGTTGTTTGATTTTCCTCCAAAAAATATACATGAAATACAATTGAACGTTTAAATGATATATGCATGTATAGATATGGATAGCCATTAGTTAAGCATGGATATTTATTTGATGATTTAAATTTTATTAAAAAAATTAATTATTTATTTGATTCTTCTGAAATTTATTATCACGATTGATTAGTGAAATTAACCTTAGACTATATTTATGAAGATCATAAAAAATGACTGTCAATAAAGATTTTTTGTTATACATAATGTGAGTTAACATTGGGAATAATAAATTAGACATGATATCTAAGTATCATACATTCCATCTTAGCTGATGTAGTATCTTAAAACTTCTCAAGTTTTTAATTCTTCTTCTGTTAATTTTTGCGATGAAAAATATCTTCACAATTCTAGTAGTTTTTACTTATGATTTGTTACATTGTCTGAAGAAGTTCATTTCATTATAGACGACAGTTGATCGATGAACATAGCTATGTATTAACAAATGTTTCATATTTTAATTGAAGTATCAGGTAGATTGGTCTAAATAACTATTTCTCGTCATGTTAATACATCATTTGGTAAATTTAATCAATCAATATACAGTTATAAAATGTTATACTATGAGTCTGATTGACTAGAAAACAAATTTTAATGAACATTTACGGTGAGTGACGCTAAAGTGATTTTGAGAGTGTCTACCCACTTACTAGGGCTAAATGAGGGTTATAAATCAGTTTGAAGAATAAGGATTATGATTTTCAGTTGACCGTTTGGGTTAGGAATTAAATTTAGGGTTTTCATCACGAATTGATATCAGCTATAATGTCAAGACTATTTAGCCAAATGGGTGAATATATATATAGGGAGAGAGAGAGAGAATCCCAAAACTGTATCACCAGATAACTCTTTGAGAAAGTGGTATCCACAAGTTATGGATCATATTTATAAGAATTTGTAATCTATCATTGTTGATATTCAGGACTGAGCTTAGCTGAAGATTCTCATACGAATGATTCCTGGTTTTAAGCTTTATAGTTTCATTTATTTTCAATTTAGGTATTACTTACCATTAGTATAGGGTTTGTAGAAACAGTTGGATTTTAATGAGATCACAATCTAAAATCCGGAGTAATGGACAACCATTTTGCTCTGATATGAGACTTCTCAGTAGTACTTATTCATTTTCGCGGACTGATTATGGTAAGACTTTCATACCGTTCGATCTTGGGTTAGTAGTACAAAGTTTAAGCGTTAATGCGCGAGATCAAAAGCTGTAGTGTCGATTGCTATGTTAAGCGCATATAGATTATTATACCTTCTGGACAGGCCAATGTATTCATACACACATACATATATGTATGTATATACAACAATCAATCATAAGATCCAACTTGAATCAGATCTCTCAGTTTTATCCCTGGTGTAAGAGTCTAAAGCGCACCGTTGAAGAGTCCCAAATTAAAACGTAATAGTTGTCCGGTACGTTCAGGTTTCCAGTAATTATCTAACTTAAATCTTTTTGTGATCTCACTATTATTTGTCACTTTTAGTAACATAAATCCTACCATTATTATGATTTTTGAATCGTTTACCAGAGTAATATACACAGTAGAATCAGACTTAACAAAACATTACTTTTCACCTATCTCTTTTAATGATCAAGCACTCTTATCGTTATTTTATGATGTTTCCTTTTTTACAAGAAATTGGGTCATTTAATAAAGAAGCTTTCATCATAATTCTGGATAACGTCGAATAAAGTTTTAATTAAATCATCCAGCTTAGAAACTACAAACTAGTGGAAGTTTTCAAATGAACTCAAAATCTTCTAAATCACTTCAATTTAAATTCTTAATGTTTCTTAATATTTTATAAATGGTTACTTTTTTGTCTTTACTTAATTACAACAAAACATCCTTACATATAGATGATTGTATTCAAGTCAGTTGTACTTATATTTATGGCTGAAATAGATTATTTTTTTATATGTTCTGTATAGTTATGAATAACCTGTTGCTATTTGAACAAGGAGGTTCAGATGCAGACGTAAAGGCAAGGATTGGCAAAGCAAGAACAGCATTTCTACAGTTAAAGAACATATGGAACTCAAAACAACTTCCAACCAATATCAAAGTGAGAATCTTCAACACCAACGTCAAGGCAGTTCTACTGTATGGATATGAAACTTGGAGAACTACAACAACCACAATCAAGAAAGTACAAGTATTTATAAATAGCTGTCTACGCAAGATACTCAACATCCACTGACCGGATACCATCAGCAATAGGCTTCTGTGGGAGAGAACAAACCAACTTCCCGCTGAAGAAGAAATTGGGGAAAGACGATGGAAATGGATAGGACATACATTACGCAAATCATCGAACTGCATCACGAGGCAAGCGCTAACTTGGAATCCTGAAGGGAAGCGAACAAGAGGAAGGCCAAAGAACACATTGCGTCGGATAATAGAAGCAGATATGAAAAGGATGAATAACAACTGGACGTAGCTGGAAAGGATTGCCCAGGACAGGGTTGGATGGAGAATGCTGGTGAGCGGCCTATGCTCCTTCACGAGGAGTAACAGGCGTAAGTAAGTAAGTATTTGAACATGTGTTCAAGTTGGGTTTTTTTCTTGTATGAAAAATTTTAATATTTCACTTCTCATATTATTTACCTATGCGTGTAAAGGATAGTTTCGTTTGTTTTTTCTTTATTCTTTATCGATGTAATGTCTTTTTGATTTTTCAACAATTCTACAAATCACCAGTCATTTACATACTTCAATGTCAATTACACACACGTACACATACCTGCATATATATATATATATATATATATATATATATATATATATATATATATATATATATATATATATATATATTCCCAGTATCCATGCCTTTATATACATTCTTATAAGTAATGTGAATTATTTGTCTGTTTTCTAGTTCACATTGTATATTTATATTTAGTATGGGATACTTATATATTGTGGTTACTACTGATTTTTTTTTAAAGTCGTTTAGTTGTTGTATGTGCTTTTTTTTCCCATTTTTTTTTCTTTTCATACATTATTATTCTTTTTCATTCATTCTTCTTCTGAATTTTAATATTACTTCGAGAGAAAGTTTTAGCATTATGGCATAGTTACTATTGATGATGTTTCATTGGTTTTATAAGAAAGCTATAAAGCAACAAATTTGAACTACTCATAGACATATTTTAGTAATAGACTTTTAAAATGGTACATTTTGTGTAATGATAAGAAATCGTTAATAAATGAAGTGAGTTGTTTTAGAGAAAAATATATCAGAAAGTTAATGATTATGACAAAAATTGACATTTGAACATTACTTGAAGTATTTATTATGTAATTTTAATTAAATTTCATAAATTTAATATAGTTTAACTATTATAGTGTGAATTGTAGTAAAATTGTAATAATTCTAATAGTTGAATTCATGAGTCGATCAAAACTAGACCATTATTGAATAACTGAAAACACTGGATGACTGTTTCATCCTAATGTATGGACTCCTCATCAGTGTGTATCCACAATCCCTCACATGAAACTCAAATTTAAGACATTTTGGTCTCAAATGTGAACATTTAACCTCTATACCACTGAGCTGTTCATCTAAAGGTGTTAATGTCTAACTATTTATTAAGTTGGTTTTAAAATGTTTTATAGTTTTTATTCTTAATCTTTTTTTCCATCGCAAATTTAAATTCAGTAAAAGTGTGCGTAAATATATGTATTTTTCTTACATGGTATTTTAGTAATCCACAAACTACTGAAGAAGCCAGCTATAAATTTATGTCTTCTCAGTTGAAACCTGTTCTTATTAATGCATAAATACATTTAAGATATTCCGTTAATATAAAAGTAAATTTTAGAATAGAAAACAGAATAACAGCTATTATTTTAGACATTTATTGCGTTGAATAGATTGTACCAAGAAACCACATGGTTATTACTTATAGGAACAATGAGATGATTTCATTAATTCATACAAATTTAGTTCGTTAATATTAATCAACACAGATTTGGGCAACAGTGTGTATTAATCCAAAATCTCATATGATATCTGAATATGCATGAAGAAATCAACAGATGTATAGCTAAACATTTATACTAATTTTAGTTTCAGTAATAGTATAATAGGGCTAAACAATCCTAATATAGTGATTGGAATCATGAGTCAATTGAAGCTAGAACACCATGGAAAAGCTGGAAGTACTAGACGGCCGTTTCGTCCTAATATGGGACTCCTCAACAGTGTGCATCCACGAGATTCCAACCCAGGACCTATCAGTCTCGCGCCAGGCGCTTAACCAACCAGACCACTGAGCCCGCATCCAACGGTGTTGATATCTAACTTCAACCAATCCACGAAGTTGCACAACCGTACACCATTGTCTTCAGTGAGTTTATATCTCACAACAGACCTGGTTGAACTCCACGGGTAACGGCTTCTCACTAGAACTCCAGAAGTATCTCTTGAAGTCAGTCACTAGCGAGCAGATGATTATTATCAGAAGGGGTTTTGTGGAGATTTTAGAAATTTCACTGGTTGGAATCATGAGTCCCATACTAGGACGAAACGGCCGTCCAGTGCTTCCACGTTTTCCATGGTGGTCTAGTTTTAATTGACTCATGATTCCAACCAGTGAAATTTCTAAAATCTCCACAAAAGCTCTTCTGATAATGATCCTAATGTAGTTTGAAAACGAAGGAATTCGTGGAATAAAAGTTATGAAATAATATTTGAACTTAAGATCTTGACGGAGATAAAGAGTGACTATATCTGTGACAGTATTTTCATCCTGACTACTAGAATTACCAAGGAAAGTGTGCATGTGTTGAACAACATTTACTGCATATGCCG